ACAGCATGATCTCCCCTCCTCGGCCTCCCAAAGTGCTGGGATTACAGGCGTGAGCTACCGCTGCCAGCCAATGCTAATGGCCTCTACATTCCACAACAAGTGCCTGCTGTACTTCTTTGGTAATTAAAAATGCTTGTATCAGCCTGGTGCAGTAGATGACTCATGCCTGTAATCCCAGCACTTTTAGAACCCGAGGCGGATGGATCACCCAGGCCGGGAGTTTGAGACCACCATGGCCAACATGGCAAAACCCTGTCTGTACTAAAACTACAAAAATTAGCCACTTGTGGTGGCGGGCACCTGTAGTCCCAGCTACTCCAGAGGCCTAGGCAGGATAATTGCTTCAACCTGGGAGAGGCGGAGGTTGTAGTGAGCTGAGATCGTGCCACTGCACTCCAGCCTGAGTGACAAGGATTGAACTCATCTAAATAACAAAAATGCTTATATCGTCTGCGTGGGACGTGGAATTTATGAACAATAAAATCCTGTGCAAGTTCTGATTATTAATACAGTCCTTCAAGGAGAATGTTGTTTGAAGGAAGACATTCCTTTTATTAAATTTTTGTTTTGAATGTTAGCTTTCAATTTTTTTATGTTTGGAAATGGGAAGAATATGATTTAATTGTAGAAAATTTTGACCGTTTATGTCAATTCCATCCTGTATACTTCAGCAGGGCGTAACAGGAAGGCCTCTGGAGTCCTTTGGGTCTGGATCTCTTTATTCTACCTGTTCCCCCGAGGCATTCTGTTGTCTGTTAGATGGAGCCACTAATTGTTCAGAGGTTCTGGTGAGGATTAAACAAAATATTGTATGTAGAGTTCTGGAGCACAGTTAAATGCTCTTTGTATATTTAGTTTAATTTTTTCTAAACAAACAACTTTAGTAATAGCAGCAGCATATTAGAATCTAAAATATGCCTTTGTTCTTCTAAAAGAGTAACACTAAAAAAAGAGATGTTTACTTGGGGGGAGTATCAAACTCAAATATAATAGAAACTTGAATAATCGTACAATGATTATTTCTAGTTCATGGAATAATATAAATATAGAAATTTGTTTTATAATTAGAGAACTTAAAAGAGATTTGGAGTCTTTCTTTTAAGCTGAAAGATAAGATTTAAAGCTGAATATGTGTTCCTATGTGACTGAGGGACTGTGTTTTCCTATGATCCTGTGTGTGTCCCAGTCTTTCTCTGTGATGTTTTTGCTACTTTAGATTCTGTTTTATGCAACATAAGCAAATGTTTATGAATATGTATTAGTGAGAAAGCAGAGTTTGACTTAGTGAACAGATTTTAAAATCATAACAGATTTACTTTGTTCAAATTTGATATATTCTCTTTCTCATTTTCTTTGGCACATTGGAATAATCACTCATAAATGAAAACCTCAGAACTACTGAATGTCTTGAGATACCACTACTAAGAGACAGCTTGATTGTACAGATTCTAACACAAGCTGGTTAAATTCCTAGCCTGGCCAAGTTCACTTGTATTCAAACCTTATGGGCAGAGGGTTTCTCTATTCGTTCCAGAACAGAATGGGGCACTACCGGCAGTTCCTCCCATGCTCCTCCTGCAACTCTGCCTCACTGCAGGCGTGGGTGCCGCCTCCTCCCACTCTCCTGCCCATCACTGCCTCCCTGCAGGCGTGGGTGCCACCTCCTCCCATGCTCCTGCCCATCAGTGCCTCACTGCAGGCGTGGGTGCCGCCTCCTCCCATGCTCCTGTCCGTCACTGCGTCACTGCAGGCGTGGGTGCCAGCTTCACTCATTCTCCTGTCCATCACTGCCTCACTGCAGGCGTGGGTGCTGCCTCCTCCCATGCTCCTGTCCATCCTGAGACTGTCAGGAGCCCACCAAGGCAGCCTCCCATTAGAACAAAAGCTGTTCCTACCACCCAAGAAATTCCAAGAGATTTAGTACCTTTGTGTGGGGAATCAGGGATGAGAGACCAAATGTTAGAACAAAGATTCTCCTAGCACTCCTACTACAAGGGGTTTTAGGAGTTCTATGTTAAGTACTGAGGCAGAGACCAAATATGTATTTTCTTGTTATTTCACATCTGGCCAGCCCAGCTCCTTATATGACTGGTTCTTTCTTTCTTTCTTTCTTTTTTTTTTTTTTTTTTGAGACAGAGTCCCAGGCTGGAATGCAGTGGCGCAATCTCAGCTCACTGCAACCTCCGCCTGCTGGGTTCAAGCAATTCTGCCTCAGCCTTCTGGGTAGCTGGGACTACAGGTGTGCACTACCACGCCTGGCTAATTTTTTTGTATTTTTAGTAGAGACTGAGTTTCTGCATCCTGGCCAGGTTGGTCACTTGGCTCCTGACCTAAGTGATCCATCCGCCTTGGCCTCCCAAAGTGCTGGGATTACAGGCGTGAGCCACGGCACCTGGCCTACCGCCTCTTTCTGAATCTTCCATGGACCCTTCCAGGTGGCAGCAGACTCTCCTTCCTGTGCCAGCACTGTTCTCCTCCCTGGCTGGCAGCCAGGCCTCACACAGCCCCTCCTCGAGACAAAGGACAGCAGCAGGTCTCATTCCCGCTGGATCTGGAGGAAGTGCTTGATAAATAGATTCTTCAACAGAACAGTCAACACATGTGCAGGAGATTAAGTACAGCCCAGTGACTAATAAAATCAGAACTCACCTTATTTTTGCTCTGATATATGACTGAGTAGAGAAGCTTTATTATTGTTACATAAGTATAATTCTGTAGGTGATTCTGGTACTGGTATGTTTAGCTTTAAGGTGTTGCTCAGGCAGGCGTTAAGGATGACAGGATGAGTAGGAGTTTACTAGCATGCTGTCAGACCAAATTGAAATGCCAGTAAACTTAGAGACATCTAATGTTAGAGAAGGAAGAATGTTTTCATTTTGGAACATTTTTTACAGGAGTCATTTTATGATATTTATCTTTAAAACTTGATGTTCCAAAAAATTTTTCTTTACAAATCAAATTTGGAGTAGATTACTTGGTGTAAGACATCCTGTTTCAATGCTCGTTTTCATCTAATATCATTAAATTATGGTTTAATGAAAATTGCACTTTCACATAATTTTGGTCATTTGTTATATAAAAATAGTACTCCTGTATTAGAAACATTTTAATTTTAATCCTAAATTACAGAATTGGATTCCATGCTTATGAGGATTTCAAAGTAGAAAATACAGAGGGAAATGTAAGGCTGAGTTTCCTCATTACTAATTTTGTACATATTCTTACCAGAGCGTCTTTTGTATGCATTTATTAGCATGTACCTTACATTAGAACATGTTTCTATACATATGCATATGCATGTACAATGTTTTTAAAACTATGGCCTCTTAATTTTTTTTTTTTTTTGAGGAGACGGAGTCACTCTGTCCCAGGCTCCTGGAGTGCAGCGGCACGATCTCGGCTCACTGCAACCTCTGCCTCCCGGGTTCTCCTACCACAGCCTCCTGAGTAGCTGGGATTGCAGGCGCATGCCACCATGCCTGGCTAATTTTTTATTTTTAGTAGAGACAGGGTTTCACCATGTTGATCTCTTGACCTTGTGATCCGCCCGCCTCAGCCTCCCAAAGTGCTGGGATTGCAGGCGTGAGCCACCGCGCCTGGCCAAGGATGTTTTATTTTAGCCCCAATGGCAGAGAAAATATTTTCTTTCTCTTTTTTTCCAATCCAGAGAGAGGGTCTCACTCTGTCACTCAGGCTGGAGAACAGTAGTTCAATCATGGCTCACTGCAGCCTGGAACTTCTGGACTGAAGTGATCCTCCTGTCTCAGCTTCTGAGTAGCTGGGACTGGGACTACAGGTGTGCACCACCATTTTTTTTAGAGACAGAATCTCACTGTGTTGCCTAGGCTTGTCTTGAGCATCTGGCCTCAAGCAGTCCTCCTGCCACTCAGCCTCCCACTGTGTTGGAGTGCAAGTGTGAGCCACCGCGCCCAGTCTCACGTTTTTTTTTAATAGGTTTTCCTTTTTTTTTTTTTTTTTGAGACAGACTCTCCTCTGTCATCTAGGCTGGAGTGCAGTGGCCACGATCTCGACTGCTTCTAACCTCCACCTCCCAGGTTCAACCGATTCTCCTGCCTCAGCCTCCCAAGTAGCTGGGATTACAGGCGGGTGCCGCCCACCACTGCTAATTTTTGTATTTTTAGTAGAGACGGGGTTTCCCCATGTTGGCCAGGCTGGTGTTGAACTCCTGGCTTTAAGTAATCCACCCGCCTCAGCCTCCTAAAATGTTGGGATTGCAGGAATGAGCCACCTGCCTGGCCCTGAATAGGGTTTCTGCTCTCCTGTACAGGCCTTCTCATTATCAGACTACTGCAGGATGCAGAGGATCCCATCTGGTGAAGGTGAGTAAATAGGAGGGGCCCAGTAGGAAGGGCGTCTCTTGGCTGGTTTGGGCCAAAGAGAAAAGCAAAAGGAAAGAGTGAATTTTATTTTTAGTTTATATCTTGTTGCTATTTTGTGGAGTCTCATTATGTTGTCCAGACTAGGGTGCAGCACTAACCACAAGCTTGATTGTAGCACATTGCAGACAAGCTCCTGGGCTCAAGGGATCCTCCCACCTCAGCCTCCCGAGTACCTGGGACTTGCAGGTTTGCGCCACCATGGCTGACACCTGGGCAGGAGTAGAGCTCAGCCTAGATTTCAGGACATGATGATAATATACTAACAGATGAGAGCGTGTGTTTTTAAACAGGTAAAGGTCAGTTTTATATAATCTATGATGTTTCAGATTCAGTGAATTTCCTCTGGACAGTGGGGTGCAGGGGAAGACTCTGACGGCATTTTCCACACTCTCGACTTTCTGCTCATCATGTTCTCCAGAATGTAAAGGCTGAGGTGCGTGCATTTCACTTTCCCTCCTTGAGCCAGTTTCCAAAGCTTTAGAGCAGGTGTTTAAAGAAGCATCATGTAAACATAGGACATATGATCGGAATATGAAATTGCCTGTGACATTTTATTTACAGTTGTTGGGGAGTTAATAAGTCATATGTGTGTATTTTCCTCTGATTTCATTTTCCAGACACTGAAAGAGCAGAATGGCTAAATAAGGTAAGATTAGAGTATACCAAATACTGTCTATCAGTGGAATTGGAGGATGAGATACCATCTTTCCATATTTGGGAATTTGCATGTTGGTAACATTTGAGCTTGTTTGGACTTTAGTGGGTTGGCTTCTGCTCCCCAAAGACCTCAGTCACCAACTAATGCATTTCTTTTCTTTCCAGAGAGTGAGAACTGTCTCTTTGACTTGAGAAAAGTATAGGCATTTGCATATTTATATCTCTGGCCATGTGTCTTCTTTTCTGAACAGCCAGGGCTCAAATCTGTTTTATAATAATCATAAGTTTTAAGAAACATTGTAAAGAAAGAAATAACTTACAAGAAACTGAATAATCAATAACAACCCTTTTTTTTTTTTTTTTTTCAGATGGAGTTTCACTCTTGTTGCCCAGGCTGGAGTGCAATGGTGCGATCTCCCAGCTCACCACAACCATACCTCCTGGGTTCAAGTGATTCTCACCTCAACCTCCCGAGTGGCTGGGATTACAGGCATGCGCCACCCGCCCAGCTAATTTTGTATTACAGTAGAGATGGAGTTTCTCCATATTGGTCAGACTGGTCTCGAACTCCCGACCTCAGATGATCGCCCACCTCAGCCTCCCAAATGGCTGGGATTACAGGCGTGAGCCCCTGCACCCAGCCAGCAATCTTTTTTTTAAAGGTTATGTTTTTAGAACGGTATACCTTGAATTAGATCTGTTTTATCTCTGTGTTTCATACATCTTTAGGGCTACACAGTGAACTCAGATGTTGATAATGATCACTTTAAAGTGCTGGAAGTTCATTTGTCATTAAAAATATAGGTGCTTATTAATATTTATACAGTTGAAGAACTATAAATATTACAGTTGTTTTCAGCAACAAGTTGAAACCACAGGACTTTTAGAAATCTTTAAATGTGCTGACATACTTAAACAGAATATTTAACTAGAATAACTAGTTCCTGCAACATATTGAGTAATCAGTAGTTGGTTTTTCTAATAACTTTTTTAGAATTTAGATCGTATTGATTTTGCATAACAAGAAGATCCTTCCCCTCTTTATTTTCAAAACCAGGTTTGGTCCATTCTGAGTTTCTCACGAGCACTGCGTGTATGTCATGCATTATAGCTTTTTGTTTACACTAAGTTCTTTTTCCTTTCCAGACTGTAAAACACATGTGGCCTTTCATTTGCCAATTTATAGAAGTTGTTTAGAAACTATAGAACCAGCTGTGCGGGAAGCAAACACCCACCTTAGCACCTTTAGTTTCACGAAGGTCAGCGCGTGGGCCAGCAGGTCAGTGGTGTTCTCTTAAGTATCCTCACACGTGCACACAGACTGCAGTGAAAACATGAAAAACACATTTCTTTTTTTCTTTTCTTTCTTTTTTTTTTTGAGACGGAGTCTTGCTCTGTTGCCCAGGCTGGAGTGCAGTGGCACAATCTGGGCTCACTGCAAGCTCCGCCTCCCAGGTTCACAGTATTCTTCTGCCTCAGCTTCCTGAGTGGCTGGAATACCGACGCCCGCCACCGCCCGGCTAATTTTTGTATTTTTAGTAGAGACAGGGTTTCACCATGTTAGCAGGATGGTCTCGATCTCCTGACCTCGTGATCCGCCCGCCTCGGCTTCCCAAAGTACTAGGACTACAGCGTGTGCCACTCTGCGCCCGGCCAAAAACACATTTTCTTTCCATTTTTTTTTCCAGATGGGGACCTCACTATGTTGCCTGCCTGTACTCAGACTCCTAGGCTCCATTGATCTTCCTGCCTCAGGCTCCCAACTAGCTGGGCATATGTTTTTAAGCAACTTCCAATGAGCCCAGTGGCTCATGCTTATGATCCCAGCACTTTGGGAGACCTGAGCTAGAGACCAGCCTAGGCAACGAAGTGGGACCCCATCTGCAAAAAAGTTCCAAAGTTAGCTGGGTGTGGTGGTGCACGTGTGTGAGTCCGGACTACGGGAGGCTGAGGCAGGAGGTCACTTGAGCCCCAGGAGGTCGAGACTGCGGTGAGCCATGATCGCACTACTGCATTCCAGCCTGAGTGACAGAGTGAGACCCTATTTCAAAAACCAGACAGGTTCAAATTATGTTCTGAGGAAAATTGTTGTTCACCAAGAGGTCTACCGGGTGTACCTGCATTTCCCACTCAGGCTCTTACCTCTAGCAGCGGTGCCTTTCCTATCTGTCAGGGAGGCTGTCCTGCTGCCCTGCGCCTGCGATGCCCCTTCCTGTCTGTCAGGAGGCTGTCCTGCTGTCCTGCTGCCCTCTCGCCCTTGGTGCCTTTTCCAGTCTGTCAGGAGGCAGAGTCCTGCCCTTTCTCGCCCATGGTGCCCCTTCCCATCTCTGTCACTCAGGCTCTGCCTCCAGCCATGGTGCCTTTGCCCATCTCTGTCTGGAGGCCGTCCTGCTGCCCTCTGACCTGCCGTGCCCCTTCCCGTCTCTGTCACTCAGGCTCTGCCTCCTGCCCGCAGTGCCTTTTCCCATCTCTGCCGGAAGGCATCCTGCCCTCTCACCCTCACTGCCCCTTCCCATCTGCCGGGAGGCCGTCCTGCTGCCTTCTTGTCCGAGGTGCTCTCTTGGCCATGTCAGCCTCCATCGCATGGCTTCTCTTTAACACTGACTTTTTTCCCCTCACATGTCTTTCTGCTCCACATTCTTCTGTCAGCATGCCCTTTTCGCGCTAGTTTTAAGTAGTCTTTCCTGTGAGAGAGTTTGATATGTGAATTCATGCTAAATGTGCAGTAATTGACATGTTTAAGGTGTTTACCCCTCTCGGAATGTTAAAAAACAAAACTACTAATGACTCTAATGCTGGTAAGGTAGGTACACCATTCATTACGTAGGTGGAAGGAAAGACGGATTTTGTTAACGAGTCACATTATGTAAAAGGAAAGCTCTACTTCCCTATGCCACTTCTTGTAAAAGCCTCAAGAGTACATTTAGTTGATCATGGGAAGTTTTTCTTTTTATTTTGTGTTTTTAAATTAGTGTTTAAGTAGCAACAGTCCAAGGTAACATTTATGTGCCTGAAGACTCAGAACGTGAGGTTCTTATAAACACACACACAGTCCGTGCGTTGGTGCCGCAGCACAGCAGAGTAAACACACAGACATCCCGCACAGTGTGGTTCAGGGTTGTGGTAGATGTGGCTACGGGAGGGTCTGGCATGGCCACTGTGTATTTGCCACCTGTTAGTGGGCACCCGTGTCCACCCCATGCTCTCTCAGGCTGCTGGCCACCTTTCTCCATCAGGCTGACTGTGTGTGTGCAGAGAAACGCTCATCTCCAGGAGCAGTTACTCCAGGCTTGGGAGCCTCCTGTGCAGCCTTACATGTGACACTGCCTGTATGTGCTGCCTTGCTTTCTTGACATGCCTGAGGCGTGGCCATCCTGTGCAGAGCCCATGTCGGCTGGGGACGCCTGCGGGGCGAGCCGTGTCTCTCATGGGACGCCTGCGGGGGGCGAGCCCATTGTCTCTCATGGGACGCCTGCGGGGCGACCCCTTGTCTCTACACAGGACGCCTGCGGGGCAGGCCGTGTGTCATGGGACGCCTGCGGGGCCGAACCCTTGTCTCTATGCAGGATGCCTGCGGGGCGAACCCGTGTCTCTACACAGGATGCCACCTGTAGTACACTTTCCCAGTGTTGACTTTACCTTCAACACTAAAATGAAACTGGCCTGCGGGACGAGCCCGTGTCTCTACACAGGATGCCTGTAGTACACTTTCAGTGTTGACTTTACCTTCAACACCTAAAATGGTAACCACAGATGGGGAAAAACACAATTACAAGTTAAAGTGCCGTGTGAGTGCAGGTTAAAATCCCAGTGACAGGTTAAATGCTGTAAAGCAGGGGCTGCATGCTCTGTCTGTACATGGCCAGGTCATACACGTTTTAGCTCTGACTCCACCTTAAGTCTCTGTGGCACACTGTTCTGCTGTCTCTCCCTCCCTTCTTTCACAGCCCTTTAGCCAAGTGAAAACCATCCTAGCTCCAGGGCTGTAGAGTCAGGCCAAGGGCCACGTTTAGCCTGTTATGCCCTAAGTTACAGCATGTTCATGTTTGTGGATATTTAAAATTCCAAGCTCACCTGGGTTTATTTTAGGAATAATTTTATTATGTTTGAGTTCCTTCACACACACGTTAAGTCTGATACCAGCTGAATAAGAAGGTCCTTGGAGAATAGCAAGAGTATTAAGAGGAGTGCTGATTCAATAAAGATAACTTTGGCATTTTCACCTACTGTACCAATGTCTTACAAGTGGCAAACCCAGGCTTTCTGGTGAAGGGACGGATAGAATGGCATGCGGAGTCCTGTGCAGGGCCCTTGGCCAGACTGTGTGCTGACCAAGACCTCGGGCAGCTGGGCAGTGTTGCCTTCTGGTGTTTGTCCTTCGTTAGGTAATGCCCAGTCATCTGGAGTGGGGTTGGTCCCTTCATCTCAGTGTCATTTGGGGAGTATGTTATCTGATGTACATCATGCCTGCCCCATTTTCACTTACTAGCATAATGTGGTGGTGATGTTTTTAGTGCAGTCTGTACATGGCTTAGCTAGTGCCATAAAGAAAAAGCCTGGGAACTTGGGAGCATAGGAGGTGTCTAGACTCTCAGGTAAAAGCTTAGAGTTTGGTTCGACAGCTAGGTGAGAGGTGTGATTTTAATACATGCAAACTTGTCAGAGTAAGCAGTAGTTCTCTAAAAGTAAAGTGCTTCTTTCATTTTTGAGACAGGGTCTCACTCTGTCACCCAGGCTGGAGTACAGGGGCGTGATCACCACACACTGCAACCTCAACCTCCCGGGCTTAAGGGATTTCCCCTACCACAACCTCCTGCGTTGCTGGGACTACAGGTGCGTGTCCCCACGCCTGGGTCTCCACTAAGGCTCGTCTCAAACACTTAGGCTCAAGTGATTCTTTCACCTCAGCCTGCTGAAGTGCTGGGATTACAGCTCTGAGCCATCGTGCCCAGCGTTTTGTTTGTTTTGTTTTTTTTAAGAGATGGGAGTTCACTCTGTTGCCTAGTCTGAAGTACAGTGGCACAATCATAGCTCACTGTAGCCTCAAACTCCTGCTCTCAAGCAGTCACCCCATCTCAGCCTCCTAAGTAGCTAGAACCACAGGCGTGTGTTCCCATCTTAGCTATTTTTTTTTTACTTTTTGTAGAGATAGGGTTTCACCGTGTTGCCCAGACTGGTTTCAGTCTCCTGACTTCAAGCAATCCTCTGCCTTGGTATCCCAAAGTGTTGGAATTACAGACCTGAGCTGCCACGCCGGGACATGAAAGTCTTAAGAAATGAAAAATTATGAGACATAAAGAATAAATGAAAGGAAGCTATGTTTCAAACATGGTAGTACTAGGATGGAGTACTGGAAAAGGGTCAAGTTAGATGTGAAGAGACGAGAGTAAGAGGCTTGAAAAGAGCACATATGTATCGTTACATGTGCTGACAACAGCAGTCATGCCCAGTGCTTATTAACTGCTGTGGGCAAGGCATGCACTACTGTCTTGACATTTATTTTGTTGCCTAATTTCACAGTAACCTCATGAAACAGAGGCCGTTGTTTTTCTGCAGATCACAGGTGAGGAAGCTGAGGAACAGGGGTTAAATAGCCGAAAATCAAGCCGCACTCTGTTATGAAGGCAGAATTTTAATTCCTGTTGTAGTCTGAAATTTAAAGCTTGTTCTCTTTATCTCTATGCTGTTACAAGGTTTGATTTTTTTTTTTTTTTTTTACCTCTATATTTTAAAATAAGCTACTTCTTATTTCAGCCCCTCAGGATCAATGGTGTTAAGGTATACACTGAAAATGTAGACAAAAGGCAAATTATTTTGGACCTTCAGATTAGGTAAGTTTTTATTTGTTGTATTTGTGTCATGGTTAATGGCGTGTAATGTCACTTAGCTGCACCTGTAAGGTGGAGGATACAGAGAGCACACGTCTTACCTGCTGTCGGTTGGAGTTCTTGTTAGACATCCAAGTATTATTTACCTTCTGGGTCTCAGTTTCTAATAGCCTCGATAATTGCCATTCATAAAATGTGTTAAATAAAAAGAAGTTAAAGACACTACAAGAAAACTATGGACCAATATTCTTTATGAACATTGATTAAAAAAAACGCTTAACAAAATACTAGCAAACTGAATTCAGCAGCATATTAAACAGATTTCACACTATGACCTAGTGGAATTTATTCCCAGAATGCAAAGATGATTCAGCCTACAACAATTAGTTGATGTAATACACCACATGAAAAGGAAAAAACCAAATCATGTGATTATCTCAGTTGATGGAGAAAAAGCATTTAACAAAACTCAATACCCTTTCATGATAAAAACACTGAATGAACTAGGAATAGAAGGAAACTAACTCAACGTAATAAAAACCATATAAGAAAACCCCACAGTAAACATTATACTCAGTGGGCTGGGTGTGGTGGCTCACGCCTGTAATCCCAGCAATTTGGGAGGCTGAGGCAGGTGAATCACGAGATCAGGAGATCGAGACCATCCTGGCTAACACGATGAAACCCTGTCTCTACTAAAAATACAAAAAATAAGCCAGGCGTGGTGGTGGGCACCTGTAGTCCCAGAATTAAGTTATCCCTGTATGTAGATGACATATTCTATATGTAGAAAACCCTAGGGACATCACTTAAAAATGGCTAGAACTAATAAATAAATTCAGTAGACTTGTAGGCTACCACATAAAAAAATCAACAGCATTTCTTTTTCTTTTTTTTTTTTTAAGATAGAGTCTCGCTCTGTTGCCCAGGCTGGAGTGCAGTGGTGTGATCTTGGCTCACTGCAACCTCTGCCTTCTGGGTTCAAGTGATTCTCCTGTGTCAGCCTCCCGAGTAGGTGGGATTACAGGTGTGCACCACCATGCCCAGTTAACTTTTGTATTTTCAGTAGAGACACGGTTTCACCATGTTGGTCAGGCTGGTCTCGAACTCCCGACCTCATGATCCACCCACCTTGGCCTCCCAAAGTGCTGGGATTACAGGCGTGAGCCACCGCGCCCGGCAGAAATCAACAGCATTTCTATATATTGACAATAAACTGTCAAAAAAGGAAATCAAGCCATTTACAATAGCTATCCCCCAAAATACATAAAATAAATTTTCCCAAGGAAGTGAAAGATCTGTACATAAACTATATAACATTGATGAAATAAAGACTACAGAAATAAAAAGATATCCTGGGTTCATGAATTAGAAGAACATTGTGAAAATTATTATACTACCCAAAGTGATCTACAGATTCAATATAATTCCTATAAAAATTCCAATAACATTCTTCACAGAAATAGAAAAAAATCTTAAAATTCATATGGAACCACAAAAGACCCCAAATAACCAAAGGAATCTTAAGCAAAAAGAACAAAGCTAGAGGCATCGAACTACCTGACTTCAAAACATATTACAAAGCTGTAGTAATCAAAACAGAATAGTACTGACATAAAACCAGACATATTGAACTGAATAGTAAGCCTTGAAATAAATTTATATATTTACAATCAATTGATTCTCAACAAAGATGCCAAGAACTCACAATGGGGAAGGACAATCTCTTCAATAAATGATGTTGAAACAACTGTATGTGCAAAAGAATGAGATTAGACTTTATCTCTCACCATATACAAAAATCAACTCAAAATGAATTAAAGATCTAAATGTAAGAACTGACACTGTAAAGCCCCTAGAAGAAAACAAAGGTGAAAAGCTCTTTGATATTGATTGGCCTTGGCAATGAATTTTTGGATTTCTCACCAAAAGCTCAGGCAACAAAAGCAAAAACAAAACAAGTAGGACCACATCAAAAAAAGAGATTCTGCATAGCAAAGGAAATAAGCAACAAAATGAAAAGGCAACATATGGATTGGAAGAGAATATTTGTAAACCATGTATTAGATAAGGGCTTAATATCCAAAATATACAAGGAACTCACACAACTTAATAGCAAAAAAATAAAAAATAAAAAACAGGCAAAGGACCTGAATAATTTTCCCAAAGACGACACACAAATGGCTAACAGGTATATGAAAAGGTGTTCAACATCACTAATCACCAGAGAAATGCAAATAAACCACAATGAAGTATCACTTCATACCTGTCAGAATGGCTGTTATCAAAAAGACAAGATGACCAGGCATGGTGGCTCACACTTGTAATCCCAACACTTTGGGATGCCAAGGCGGGAGGATTACTTGAGGGCAGGAGATCAGAACCAGTCTGAGTGACATAGTGGGACCCCCATCTCTACAAAAAATAAAAAATAATAATCAGCCAGATGTGGTGATACATACCTGTAGTCATAGCTACTCAGGAAGCTGAGGCCAGAGGATCACTTAAGCCCAGGAATTCAAGGTTGGAGTGAACTATGATCACACCATTGCACTCTCTCCCTGGTGACAGACTGAAACTGTCTCTAAAACTAAAGAAAGGAATAAATAAGTCAGAAGGTAAGTGTTGGTGAGGGTCTGGAGGAAAAGGAACCCCTATATGCTGTTGGTGGGAATGTAAATTGGTATAGCCATTATGGGAAGTAGCATACAGGTTCTTCATAAAAATCAAATATAGAACCACCATATGACCCAGTGATCCCTCTGGTGCATGTATACCCAAAGGAAATGAATCCAGTATCTTGTAGCCAGATCTGTGTTCCCATATTCACTGCAGCATTACTCACCACAGCCAAGATATAGAAACAACCTAAGGGCTCATCAGTGGGTGAGTGGATAAAGAAATTGTGAGAAATACATACATATGAATATTATTCAGCCTTAAAAGAGAAGGATATATGCCGTTTGCCACAACATGGATGAACCTGAAGGACATTATCTACATGAAATAAGTCAGACACAGAAATAAAAATACTAAATGATCTTATGTATAGGTGGAATCTTAAAAGAAGTCAAACACATAGAAACGAAAAGCAGAACAGTGGTTACCAGGGGCTGAGAGGTGGGAGAAAATTGGGAGACGTTGGTCAAAGGGTACAAACTTATAGTTATATAAAACAAGTCTAAATATCTAACAGACTATATGAGGACTACATTTAATAACCTTGTATGCTGAAAATTTGCTAAGAGTAGATTTTAGGTGCTCTTATCATACAAAATGTAACTATGTAAAGTGATGGTGTGTTCATTTGCTTGACTACAGTAAATCATTTCACTGTATTTGTATATATGAAAACATTGTGTTGTATGCCTGAAATATATACAATAGAAAATAAATAGAAATTTTTATAAAATGAAGGAGAATTAAGGGCTTTCTTGGACAAACAAAAACCACACAAAGAAAAACTGAGGGAATTTGTTGCCAGTAGACCCATATTGTAAGAAGTGTTAAAGTTATTCAGAGAGAAGGTAAATGTTATATTTCTGAAACTTGGAGCTACATAAAGAAGGGAAGTATGTTAGATTAAGAATAAATGAAGGTAAAATAAAACCTTAATTTTTCTTATTATTAATTGACCTAATAGATAGCTTCAAAATAATAATAGCAAAAATGTACTGGGTAAATACAGCTTATGGATAAGTTAAATGAATGACAGCAATGTGAATGCTTCTGTTACAAGGTACCCACGCTACCCATGAAGTGGATTTGAGAATGGATTTAAATTACTTATAAACTAGCCAGGTGCAGTGGCTCGTGATTCCAGGCTCATGCCTGGAATCTCAGCAATTTGGGAGGCCAAAGCAGGAAAACTGCATGAGCCCAGGAGTTTGAGACCATCCTGGGCAACATAATGAGACCCCATCTGTACAAATATTGTTTTAAAAAAATTAGCTGGGCGTGGTGGTGCATACCTTAGTCTCAGCTACTTGAAGGGCTGAGGTGAGAGGGCTGCTTGAGTCCAGGAGTTCAAGGCTGCAGTGAGCTATTATCGCACCACTGCACTCAAGGGTAGGTGACAGAGCAAGACCTTATCTCAAAAATAAACAACAAAAATTACCTATAAATTAGTTGCAAAAGTATCCTGAAAACCCTAAGGAAGCCTTAATTTTTTAAAATAGATAGGGTCTCGCTGTATTGCCCAGGCTGGTCTTGAACTCCTGGGTTCAAGCCAGCTTCCTCCTTTAATCTTCCAAAGTGTTGGAATTCTAGGCATGAGCCACCAAACCCAGCCTAAATCATTTTTAAAAGAAGTTTAATTGCTATGCTAAGAGATGAGAGAAAATAAAATAATACAAAATGCTCAGTTAAAACCGGAAGACAGAAGGAAAGAGCTTTTTTAAAAAAAAGAAGTAAGGAACAAGTGAATGAATAAAATGTTACAAATGTGGTAGATATTAATCCAACTATATCAATAACCACTTTAAATATAAATGGTTTAAATACACCAGTTAAAAGGCAGAGACTCATGGAGTAGATAATGAGACTCAACTACATGTTGTCTACAAGAAATCCACTTTAAATATAAAGACACAGATAAAGAATAAAGGGATGGATGAAAATATATAATGCTAACACTAATCAAGAAAATCCTGGAATAGCCATATTAATTTCAAACAAGGCAGACTTCGGAACAAAAATTATCAGGGATAAATAGAAGCATGACATTGCAAAGAGGTCAGTTTCCATGAAAACACAACAATTCTTAACATGTGTTCCCCTAACAAGAGATTGTCCAAATACATGAGGCAGAAGCTAATATCTCAAACAACGCAACCGTAGTTGAACTCAATCATCAAACAACTGAACTTGACAATTATAGAATATTCATCCACTGAGAGCAGAATACACATTCTTTTCAAGTTTACACAGAATATTCAGAAGATAAATCACATTCTGGTCCATAAAAGACACCTCAAAACATTTAAAAGAAAAATATCATACAAAGTATGCTCTTGCACCACAATGGATAAAAACTAGAAATCAGTAACAGATAGCTGAAAGTTTCTCAAATATTTGAAGATTAAAATAAGACACTTCTAAATAATACACAGGTCAAAGTCTCAGGATAAATTAAAAATGTTTTAACCTGAATGAAATATGAAAATAGAACTTACTAAAATTTATAGGATGTAGTGAAAGCAGTGCTACAAGGAAAATTTATAGCATTAAACACCTATATTAGAAAGGAACAAAGATCTAAAATCAATAATCTAAGCTTCCATATTAGAAAACTAGAGAGAAAACTAGAGAGAAAAGCATACTGTAAGCCTGGAAAAACAGAAAAAAATAAATAATAAAAATTAGAGCAAAAATCAATGAAATTGAAAACAAAGACATATAGCAAAAAAATCAATAAAATCAAAAGCTGGTTCTTTGAAAAGATCAATAAAATTGGTAACTTACAGCGAGGCTAACAAAAAAAAGAGAAAGGACATAAATTGCTAATAACAGAAATGAAAAATGGGACATTACTACTGATCTCAAGGACATTAAAAATATAATAAAATATGTTCAACAACTATGCTCACAAATTTGGTAACTTAGATGAAATAGACTAATTCCTTAAAAGATACAATCTACTGAAATTCACACTAAGAAAAGAGACAATATGAAAAGACTCATATGTATTAAATCATATCAAGGCCGGGCACGATGGTTCACACCTATAATCTCAGCACTTTGGGAGGCTGAGGCAGTCAGATCACTGAGTTCAGGAGTTCAAGACCAGCCTGGCCAACATGGCAAAATCCCGTCTCTACTAAAAATACAAAAAATTAGCCAGACATGATGACATATCCCTGTGGTCCCAGCTACTCAGCGGGCTGAGACAGGAGGATGTCTTGAGCCTGGGAGACCGAGGCTGCAGTGAGTCCTGATCGTGCCACTGCATTCCAGCCTGGACGACAGAGTGAGACCCTGTCTGAAAACAAACAAACAAACAAAAAACGATGTAATTCATGCCCTCACCAGACTAAGCAAGAAAAATCATATGATCACATAAATAGATGCAGAAAAGCATTTGACAAAATTCAACACCTAGTTATGATACAAACTCTCAGCAAACTAGGACAGAGGGAATTCCTCAATCTGATAAAGAACATCTACAGGCCGAGCATGCTGGCTCATGCCTACAATCCCAGCACTGTGGGAGGCCAAGGCAGAAGGATTGCTTGAGGCCAGGAGCTTGAGATCAGCCTGGGCAACATAGAGAGATTCCATCTCTAAAAGACACACACACACACACAAACATCTACAGAAAAAAACTAGCTAACATCATACTTAATGGTTAGTGAGAAACTAGGTGTTTTCTCCCTGGGATGAGCAGCAAGGATATCCCGTACTATCAATCTTACTCAACGTTGTACTCAAGTCCTAACTAATGCAGGAAGATTTTAAAAAGGAAATTAAAGCTATACAGATCGGGGGGGGAAAAAAGAAACTGTCTTTCTTCATAGATGACATGATTGTCTATGTAGAAAATACCAAAGTATTGACCAAAAACTCCTGAACGAATAGATGATTATAGCAAGATTTTTTCTCCTCTTTTTTCTTTTTTCTTTTCTTTTTTTTTTTTTTTATTTTTGAGATGGAGTCTCACTGTATTGCCCAGGCTGGAGTGCAGTGGCTCGATCTCGGCTCACCGCAACCTCTGCCTCCTGCGTTCAAGTGATTCTCCTGCCTCAGCCTCCAGAGTAGCTGAGATTACAGGCATGAGCCACCATGCCCAGCTAATTTTTCTAATTTTAGCAGGGACCAGGTTTCACCATGTTGGCAAGGCTGGACACGAATTCCTGACTTTAACTGAACCACCCGCCTCGGCCTCCCAAAGTGCTGGGATTACAGGCATCAGCCACTGCACCAGCCAGATTATAGCAAGATTACAATGTAGTGAATTATCGTAATTTTGTGTTGCCTCAGCACCCATTTTTAAGGGAAGTTTAACTTTCCTACGCCAGAAGGAGAGCTCAGTCACCCTTGACGCAGTTTTCAGGTTCTACATCTCCTCCCAGTTCCTCAAGGTGGTCAGTCTTTGCACAACTGCCTCCCGGTGCCCACCTCCACATGGGACAGCTACATACAGCCCACTCGACTAGCCCTGCATACTCTATGTAGTGGGACGGATGGCTGCACATGAGATTTCAAGTCATAGTGGGTGCCTTCGGACTGCTTGTTTGTTTAACTATGCTCATCAGATGCCTTACTAGGTGGCTGACTCAGGTTTCTCCAGGAGCCTTTAGTGTCTCTGCTACTCAAATAGCACCCGTGATAAGGCACAAGGTCTAATGCCCAGACATTCCAGGGTCAATTTCAATGGTATTGACACAGCAGAGGTTGCTGCCTATGTATTAGAAGTAGAACACCACACCCAAATGGCCCAAAAGCCAGTGGCCAAGGATGAAAACCTCAGAGGAATCTCTTCTGCCTAGATGATAGTCCCCACTTGTCCACCACTTCCTTTAAATGGACCATTCAGGTATTTGCCCTTGAACTTAAAGTCACCCACACGGTATTCTCCAATATATACTGCTAATTTCTGCACTCTTTCTCCCTGCCTATACTCCCTGACCTAACCTCTGTGTGGCGGGCCTTCGAGCATGTCATCTACTACCAGAACCTGTAAGTAATAAAATCTTTATTTCTATTTTGTGTCTCTCTTAATCATTGAAGGGTTGCTCTCCATCTTACTTAAAGATCGTAAGTTTTAAATACAGGATGCAAAGTTAATAAACAAGTCAATTACTTTTCTATATGCCAGCAATAAACAATTGGGATTTAAAAATTAAAAATACAATAACACTGAACATTAGCACTTAAAAAGTACTTAGTAATTAAAAAAAAATGGGTACAAGGTCCATATAAGGAAATCTAATGAAATCAGAAAAAGTTCTAAGTAAATGGAAAGATATTCCATGTTTATGGATAGAAGCTCAATCTTTTAAAAAAGACGCCAATTCTTCCTAATTTCATCTATAGATTCAATGTAATCCAATCAAAATCCCAGCAGGTTACTTTGTAAATACTGACAAACTGATTCTAAACATTATATGAAAAAAGGCAAAAAGACCGAAGATAGCCAACACAATATTGAAGAAGATACAAGTTGGAAGACTAACACTGCCCTAAAGGCTTATAAAGCTACAATAATCAATAAAGTATAGTGTTGGCCAAAGACAGACCAAGCTAGATCAGTGAAGAAAGAACAAAGAACAAACAGATCCACACAAATATAGTTAGCAGATATTCTGACACGAATTAAAAGCAATTCAACAGATAATGTATGGTCTTTTCCAGAAATGACACTGGAATGTTTAGGCACACACATGCCAAAAAAAAAAAAACAAAAAAAGGAAAAAAAAAACATGAATCTAGATACTGATCTTACACCTCTCACAAGAAATTAACTCAAAATGGATTAGAACTCATTTAACATACAAAACTACAAAACTTTTAGAAGACAACCGGGGAAAATCTGGGAAAGTTTTTCCAAAGCGTGATCCATGATCTCTGAAGAGAAAAACTGGTATGTTGGACTTCACTGAGCGTAAAACTTCTGCTCTGCAAAGACACTGTTAGGAAAATGGAATGACGAGGCACAGGCGAGGAGAGAATATTTGCTGAATGCATATCTAATGAGGCACTTGTCTTAACCAGCAACACTAGCCTCTGGGAGGCTGAGATGGAAGGTTCACTTGGCCACGAGTTGAGATCAGCCTGAGCGCAAAGGAGAATTTTTTTTTTTTTTCAAATGTGCTGTGTGTGGTGACACTTGCCTATAGTCCTAGCTACTCAGGAGGCTGAGGCAGGAGGAACACTTGAGCCCGGGAGTTGGAAGCTGTGGCAAGCCATGATCATGCCTGCCTGACTGGGTGAAAGGCAAAGTTCTGTCTCAAAAAATAAAACAAACAAACAAAAACTGAACAATAAGAAAACAAACAATTCAATTAAAAAATATGCAGGCTGGTGTGGTAGTTTCACACCTGTAATCCCAGCACTTTGGGAGGCTGAGGTGGGAGGATTGCTTGAAGCCAGGAGTTGAGACTGGCCTTGCAAAACACAGCAAGACCCCAGGTCTACAAAAAATAAAAAATTAACTGGGCATGGTGGCACATGGCTGTGGTCCCAGATCTCAGGAGGCTGAGTAGGGAGGATCGCACTGAGCCCGGGTGGAAGGCTACAGTGAGCTATGATTACACCACTGCTCTCCAGTCTGGGCAACAAAGCAAGACTCTCTCTCAAAGAATAAAAATAAATGATCAAAAGATCTGAAGAACTATCTCACCAAAGAAAATGTACAGATAGCAAATAAACATATGAAAGATGTGATATATTCATTATTAGAAAATTACAATTAAAACAATGAGACTTTACTGCATGTTAAAATGGCGAAAATCTAAAACAATGACAAACACCAAATGCTGACAAGGACCTGGGAGCAAGTGATAGTCACCTGAAAAGACAGTTTGACAGCTTCTTACACAGCCAAACATAACCTTACCATATGATCAGCGGTTATGCTCCTAGGTATTTGCTCAAATGAGTTGAAGCGTTTGCCCACGCAAGCATCACGAACATGAATGCTTATTGTAACTTTATTCATAATTACCAAAAACTGGGGTAACCAGATATCCTTCAAAGGTGAATAAATCAACACAACCGGGCTCTATCCTCATGGAATGTTATTCAGCAATAGATTAATGATCCACAAAGCTACGAAAGGCCTTGGAGGAACCATAAATGCATGTTACTAAGGGAAAGAAGCCAGTCTAAAAACACATGCTATATAGTTTCACTTACATGAAATACTGGAAAACACAAAATTATGGAAATAGTGAACCCGTGGTTGCCTGGGTTCAGGAAAATGGAGGGACAATAGGTGCAGTGCAGAGGCGTTCTGAGCATTGAAACTATTCTGTGATACTATAGCAAATTAGATACATGGCATTTTGCACTTAGCACATTTATAAGCTCATATAAGCTCAAATTCGTCCTACTAGTCATACTAGCGTATCAACGCAGGATTCATCAGTAAATCACAGTACCATACTAGGATTGGGGTTGGTGAGGGGTTTAGGGATGCTTGGGTAGTGAGACTTGGTAACGTCGATCAGTTTTCTTGTGGTAGAGTTGTCTGAAGTGAGTCTGTTAATAGGAATAGTATTGTGAACTTTGGGGAAGCAGGTTTCCAAAAACTTAGAGGAAGGAGGCTAAGTCCCATGGCCCGTACTGACAACCACTCTCATAAATAGTTCCCGAACTGTATGGGGAGGGGGTCACTACAGGGTCGGAAAGCATGGCAGTGATTCTGACTGCAAGGGAGAACTGCAGGGCGCCATGTGGCAGCTCAAACAGCCAGCTCTGAAGAATCTGCTTGGGAGGTAGACACAGTGCCGCCGGCCTCACCAGACCTCAGACACAGCAGAGGCCCTGGTGGACCACTTGAATCCTACCTTCAGAGAGAAGCCACCTGGCGGCAGGTACTCAGCAAATCCATCTGTTTGAGAACAGGTTCCCAAAGCCTGAAAGCATCACTCTCTAAAAGACCGAATCAAATGGAACTGGAGGCAAACACAACTGCTAAAGCAACAAAAGCCTGCAAACCCTCAGCCAAAAAATCGTCCCCCTATCCCAACAGAGATCTACAGCCCAGAGGGCAAGTAGAGACAGGGTTCGGGCTGGAAGGCCGGGGTTGGCTCAGTGTGGAAGCGCCAGGGACAGGGAAGTGCAGTCAGTGCCGGAGAGGAAGGAAATGCAGAAAAGCTGAAGTCACAGCAAGGCTGGACTAAGGAGTCTGTATGAACCACAAGAAGGAAGCCAGGCATTCCCTCAAGAGCAACAGGAGACCATGGAAGATTGGCCACACCCGCAATTCGAATCAGACTTTGACTTTTGAGCACTCTTTCAGAATACAGAAGTTAGAACATGAACTGGCTGGATGTAAAGTGAGTGTGGGGGAGAGGGGTTAGGTCATTTCTCAGGCATAGGCAGCTTGGGATAGTGGCTGGAGGAGGAGGCGGCAAGAGCTAGGATGTCTAAGCGGCATTGCAAGCCTAACCTGCATACAAGTAGGCCCTGCTGCTCCCTCCCCAACCAGCCTGCTCCTCACCCTTGTGGTGCGGTAACTCCGTCATTCTTCCCATCGCTCAGGACACACACGGCCTTGGTGTCATCCTTCATGCCTTTGTCACACACAATCTAGACTGTGTGCATTCTGCCAGCTCTACCTTCCAAGTAAGTTCAGGAGGTCACTTCTTATCACCTGGTGATACATCATTTGCACCTGGACTGCAGCACTAGCTCCCAGCTGGTCTTTCCCAGCCACCCCAGGCTAAATCCACTTGGATGCGCCATCCTCAGGCTTGTGGGACCCCTGACACCTTAAGCCTCTGTAGAATAAAGCGGAATGGTCATCCGTCATTCCAAAACCATTCAGGATCTGCAGCATTCAGTGCCCAGATTTACACTGGGAGTTTGATAATTCTGTTTGAGGCACAGCCAAAGGCCTGTCCCTGGCTCAAGTGGAGACGTGTACTACAATCCTACTCTGGGCACAGAATCCTACTTCCTGCCATCCTGAGGATGTTCAGCTGGTTTACAGCCACGTGAATCTACACTGAATCCTTTACACTCTTCTCTAATTTTAAACCACTTTCACCAGGAGTGCTGTTTCTGCTTTCCAAATGGGGCCCTGTCCGCCCAAAGGCTGTCACTGACATGTTTTATTTGCAGGCTCAGCATCTCCTCCAGACTGTGGAGTGGGATGGATTGCCTCCAGCAGGGCCTGAGCCACTGTGGTGGATTGACCCAGTCACAAAAATACAGCTCCCTGTGCTCCCCCACCAGCCCACTCCCCCACCTCCCCCACACACAGGCAGGAAAGGCGAACACTGACTCAGGGCCCACTGAGTGCCAGGCACTGGGCACCAAAATGAAGCTGCTGTCAAGGACTTCCAGCCACAGAGCGACAGCAAGAAATTCGATGACAGGCTCCAGGACAGGTGGCGGGTGGGCACAGCCAGGGCGGGCAGAGCTTGGGAAACACCAGCAGCAGGCGGCACTCAAGCCTGGTCTTCACACTGAGGGCACATCCACATCATGTGAGATCTTGTCATAAACCACGGATCTGGGCTGCACAGATACTTATTCAGGTGGTCTGGGGTGGAGTCCTGGAACCCTTGAGTGTAACAGGGTCTGGGCGAGTCTGACTCAGGTGGACTCTGTTAGAAGCTGCAGGGAGGAGGAAGGGTGAGGGGCTGAGAGTCTCCACTGCACATTTCCTCAGTTCTGGGGAGCTGGGGGCAGTGGGGGATGTGCGGGGGAGTGTAGACAGGGAAGAAGAACAAGGCCAAAGGGCAGCGTGCTGACAGAGGTCTGAGATGTGGCACCACAGTCTCTGGCACTATGTGCGAGTGAGGATGTGCGTGCCTCCCCGTGAGAACTCCCAGTGAGTGGCACCCCTGATCCTCCCATCACTTTTCTGGAGCAGATTATTGCTTCTTTCAGCCCGCTCAGTTCTCCATTTGCACCTGTTTTCCAGCTGCAATGCAATGCGAGGCTCCTGACTTCCCAATCCAGTCTTCCCTCAAAATGGCCTTATAGCCTGCCAGCTGCTGCTCTTGAGCTACAAGGACTCCTGCCGTGTGGGGTCCTGGGGATCAGTGCTAAGGGCTAGCAATGTTTACTATCTATTGTTAAACCTGCTGTGTGGAGTTTCAGAACAAGAATCCAGAAAATCTAGGAGCTGCCAGGGCCAGACGATGGGCTGTTGGGTGTCAACTCCACGGAAAGGGCTCTCCCTTCTCCTTTTCTTCGTCCCTCATATTGACGTTGGGCGGCGCTGGGGAGGAAGCATTGGAATTTTTTGCCCCAAGAAAAGAGCTGAGGAAGATGCCCTGCCCCCTCCTAGTCAGCAGCGGTAATAGGGCTCTGCGTCAGTAAGTGGAAGGTGAGATGCAGAGCGAGGAAACTAGGTCCCTGCAGCATGTGCCCAGAATGCAGGATGAGGTCTGTGCTGTTGTTGGAGAAAGGTGGACCGATTGCAAGGAGAGAGCAGGGACAGGAGAGGAGGAGGGTGGGATGGATGTCACCATTGAAGCCTTGAGGAATGTGAGGGCTGAAGGCCAAAAGGACAAAAAGAAACCAAAGCCACGGGGGCCTGGGAAGGGTCACAAGACAGAGGCAGTTTTTATTTCTTTCTTGGCTCTTACTTAGCGTAATGTGTGATGATTGGGCTTTCTCAGTTTGTTTATTACTGGATATTTTGATAAACAGATATTATATTCAAGTACCAATCTTTGTGATTTCTTTGTTAATTTAGAAATGACCTTTTAGATCATTCATTTAGAATGATCTTTACCTATG